CCCCAGATGAATGCAATCTTTCTATGTCTATCCCTCTCTTTCTGACTCATTTCGCTTAGCATGATACTTTCCATATTGTACCACTTGTATGTAAATTTCATGACTTCATCTTTTCTAAGAGCTACATAGTACTCCATTGTGTAGATGTACCAAAGTTTCTTTAACCAGTCATCTGTTCTTGGGCATTCAGGTTTCTTCCAGTTTCTGGCTATTGTAAAGAGGGCTGCAATGAACAAACAAGTGCAGATGTCACTTCGACTATACATTTTTGCCTCTCTGGGATATATTCCCAGGAGTGGTATTGCTGGGTCAAATGGGAGCTCAATTTCTAATTTTTTGAGAATCGTCCATACTGTTTTCCAGAAGGGCTGAACCAGTGGACATTCCCACCAACAGTGAAGGAGTGTCCCTTTCTCGCCACATCCACGCCAGCATCGGTTGCTTTTGTTCTTTTGAATTTGGGCCAGTCTCTGAGGTGTGAGATGGTATCTCATTGTGGTTTTGATCTGCATCTCCCTGATGATTAATGATGTAGAGCATTTTCTCATGTGCTTTTTTGCCATTCGGATTTCTTCTTTGAGAAAGTTTCTGTTCATTTCATTGCCCCATTTTTGGATGGGGTTGGATGTTTTCTTCTTGTGGAGTTTAACCAGTATTTTGTATATCCTGGATATCAACCCCTTGTCAGATGTGTATTCGGTGAATATCCTTTCCCATTCTGTAGACTGTCTTTGTATTTTGGTCACTGTTTCTTTGGAGGTGCAGAAGCTTCTTAGTTTAAGATAGTCCCATTTATCTATCTCTGTTTTCACTTGCTCGGCCAGTGGCGTGGCATCTTTGAAGATACCATTAGCTTCAATGTCATGGAGGGTTTTGCCAACTTTATCTTCAATGCACCTTATGGTTTCTGGTCTGATGTTGAGGTCTTTAATCCATTTTGATCTTACTTTTGTACATGGTGTTAGGCAGAGTTCTGAGCCTATTTTTTTGCATGTAGCCGTCCAGTGATGCCAACACAATTTATTAAAGAGGCTTTCCTTACTCCACTTCACATTACTTGCACCTTTATCAAAGATTAGATGAGCATATGATTGAGGAGAGATGTCAGTGTATTCAATCCTGTTCCATTGGTCTGCAGTTCTGCCTTTGTTCCAGTACCATGCTGTTTTAATTATTACTGCTTTGTAGTACAATTTGAAGTTCGGGAGGTTGATTCCTCCCATTTTCTTTTTCCCAAGAATTGCTTTAGCTATTCGTGGGGGCTTATTGTTCCATATAAATTTCAAGAGTGTTTGCTCCATTTCTTTGAAGAATGTCATGGGTATCCTTATAGGGATTGCATTGAATTTATACAATGCTTTCGGTAGTATTGCCATTTTGACAATGTTAAGTCTCCCGACCCATGAGCAGGGGATATCTTTCCATTTCCTCATGTCCTCTTTTATTTCCTGAAGTAGCGTTTTGTAGTTTTCTTTGTACAGGTCCTTTACTTCCTTAGTTAAGCTGATTCCTAGGTACTTGATTTTCTGGGGCACAATTGTGAATGGGATTGTTTTTTTCATGTTGCTTTCTTCTCTCTCACTGTTTGCGTATAGGAAAGCCATGGACTTTTGGGTATTGATTTTATAACCTGCAACTTTACTATACGAGTCTATTGTTTCTAAGAGTTTTTTGGTGGAAGTTATTGGGTTCTCTAAGTAGAGTATCATATCATCTGCGAATAGTGAGAGCTTTATTTCTTCCTTTCCTACCTGAATGCCCTTAATATCTTTTTCCTGCCTAATCGCTATTGCAAGTACTTCCAGTACTATATTGAACAGCAGTGGAGAGAGTGGGCATCCCTGTCTCGTCCCTGATCTTAGAGGGAAGGCTCTCAGTTTTTCCCCATTGAGGATGATGCTTGCTGTAGGCTTGTGGTAGATGGCTTTAATTATGTTGAGGAAGGTCCCCTCTATACCCATTTTGGCTAAGGTTTTCATCATAAAGGGGTGCTGGATCTTATCAAATACTTTCTCTGCATCTATTGATATGATCATATGCTTTTTATCTTTTCTTTTGTTGATATGGTGGATTATGTTGATTGATTTCCGAATGTTGAACCATCCTTGCATCCCTGGGATGAATCCTACTTGGTCATGGTGTATGATCTTTTTGATGAGTAGTTGGATTCTATTTGCTAGTAGTTTGTTGAGGATCTTTGCATCTGTGTTCATCAGGGATATCGGCCTGTAATTCTCTTTCTTTGTGGTATCTCTGTCTGCTTTTGGTATCAGTGTGATATTTGCTTCGTAGAAACTGTTTGGAAGTGTTTTTGATATTTCAATTTCGTGGAAAAGCTTAAAGAGTATTGGGAGTAAGTCCTCTTTAAAGATTTGGAAGAATTCACTAGTGAATCCATCCGGGCCAGGACTTTTGTGCTTGGGGAGACTTTTTATTACCATTTCAATTTCCTTGATGGTGATAGGTCTGTTCAGGTATTCCAGGTCTTCTTGGTTCAGCCTTGGGAGTCTGTAGGAGTCTAGGAATTTATCCATTTCCTCGAGGTTTTGATGTTCCGTGGCATAAAGCTTCTCAAAGTACTCCCTGAGGATCCTCTGAATTTCTGTGGTTTCTGTTGTAATGACCCCCTTTTCATTTCTGATTCGGTTTATTAGGGTTTTCTCTCTCCCTTTCTTTGTGAGTTTTGCTAGAGGCTTATCGATCTTGTTAATTTTCTCAAAGAACCAGCTCTTGGTTTCATTGATCTTTCGTATTGTTTTTTGGGTTTCCATCTCGTTAATCTCTGCTCTGAGTTTTATTATTTCCTTTCTCCTGTTCGGGTTGTGCTCCTTTTTTTGGTCCTTCTCCAAGCTCTTAAGCTGTGAGGTTAGGTTACTTATGTGTGCTCGCTCCTCCTTCCTGAGGAATGCTTGTAGAGCTATAAACTTTCCTCTTAACACAGCCTTTGCTGTGTCCCATAAGTTTTGGTAACTCGTGTTCTCATTTTCATTCGTTTCTAGGAATCTTTTGATTTCCTCTTTGATTTCCTGTCTAATCCACTTGTTGTTCAATAGTGCACTGTTTAATTTCCAGGTGTTTGATTTAGTTTTCTGTTTTTGTGTGTGATTTACTTAAAATTTTTTAACTGATTTTTATTAAAAACACTGAATTACAAAGTTGTTCATTATATATATAGTTTTTTCAAATATTTAGTGTTCCAACACCACCAGGGTGAAAGTCCCTCCACCAATACCCTCAGTTTCCCTCCCAATCCCAACCTCCCCCCTTAGACACATAACAAATTTACTTCCTATTGTTTATTCCAAGAAAATTTTAAGAAATGGTAAATAGAATCATCACAAAATATATCAGTAAGAGCCAATTTGTGATTAGTCTATGATTTTGACCAATGTAAATAAGAAAATTAAAATCATTTAATGTTAAAAAATGCCTATTCTCATATGTTTTTAACTCTAAAATATAAAGTATATTATATTAAATTTAATTTTATATTTGTACCTCATTATGATCATAATCATAGCATTAATAAAACTTTAAAAGCAATATCATGTTAATATATTTTTGAGTTTACATGAAATAGGTAAGGCCTAAATCTGCAAATTTTCCCCCTACACTTTGTATAAACACTGTGGTTTACAAAATTGTTCATGATAATTTGTTACCTCTCATATTATGAACTCAACAAATGCTGTGTTTCATTACAAACTATTGACAAATTCTAGATTGATCTTCATCTGAATAATAAGTGTAGAATCATCCATCTGATAGGGTTGTGATGAGAATGAAAAGCAATAGGTTGTGTAAGATACCTCTCATATTATGAACTCAACAAATGCTGTCACTATTCTGATAATATTTGCTAAAATATCTGTTTTTCATGTATTGTGGTAAGAGGTTTTAAGATGGTATCTCATTTGTTTGTTATATTTATGGATTGAGCTAGTGGTACCAGGGGATTATTCCTGGAGCAGTGCTCAGGATTCACTCCCAGTGGTGGCTTGGGAACCAAAAGTGCTAGGGATTTATTTTGGAATTTCCACATTTCCATATGTGTTCCAGGTCTTTCACCCTTTAAATTATTTTCTCTATTTTTACACACATAGGTGCATGTATGCTCACACACAGAGACACAAAACTGTGAAGTAACTGCTAAATGATACTTTTGTTTGCTTGATAGAGCCATACCTCCCTGTGCTCAGGGCTTACACCTGGCTCTGACACCATATGCGGTGTCAGGAATCAAACCTGGATCAGTCATTTCTGAGGCAAGCACCTGAATCACCATAGTAAAAAGGGTAAATTTTTAAGGAGAGTTTAAATTAGCCCTCATACAAATATAAAATAAGCATGTGTCAATTACTTTAACTTATTAATAACAAAGTTAACAGTATAGTATAACTGATTCTAAGGAGAATTTAACTCACACATGCCACACACATACATATGCAATGAGGAAATGAAATTATGAGCAGAGAAAAACTTATTGATATCCATAAAGATAGCAATTGCATCTCACTGGATAAAAATTATGTGGATCCTATGTTAATTTCTATTTTGAACTGCAATAATTTTTCTATAACTTTATTATTTAAAATATTTCAAAGGCAAAATAATAAATAAAATATTTCAGAGACAATGAAGGAGACAACTCTTGTAGCATCTGATCATTTGAATGGATTAGTAGACATCTTTTTATTGTAATGTATTTTAGACTTTTCCACAATATTTTTTTATATAACCACTATTGTCATAATTCGGGGGACTCCCAAGCATTGCTGGGGAACCTGAGGATCTCTCAGTAGCAACAGTCTACCATTATTATACACATATTTTTAGTTGGGGAGAGAGATTCATGGTGGCTGTATGGTTGTATACAGTAATGGAGTATAAATGACAGTATCATATTTTAAGTTCATCTTTCATTTCTCCAAACACAGAGAAACTGTTTGCAGGATTGTAATTTCATTGTTATCATTATTTTTTATTGCTTATTATTTTAGGGAATGAACAATCAATACATCCGGCGGGAAATCTTTTGCTGTGAAACTTGTCATGAGCTCAAAAGCTTCTGGGAAAAAGAAATTAGCAAACAGACTTGCTACTGGGAACTGGAGCAAAAGCGTCAGGGGAGAAGTGCCCTGAGAAAGTACGTGGATCACTCTTCTACTATTATCTTTATTTATTCATGTTAGGCTCCATGGTTTACAGCACTGTTTAAAACAGGATCTCTTTACATAAATCGTTCTAGCACCACAACCTCCCCTGAAATGTTCCCTTCTGGCTGCTGGGATAGAGAGGGGATCAGTAAGTCAGTGACAGTTGGAGGGATTGCTTGGGATGGGAGATGTGTGCTGAAAATAGATAAACGACCAAAAGTGATGGCCTCTCAGTATCTGTATTGCAAACCATAATGCCCGTAAGTAGAGAGAGAGTAAGAGGGAAATTATCTGCCATAGAGGCAGGGGGAAGGGTAGGATGGGGGCCGGGGGAGAGATACTGAGGACATTGGTGGTGGAAAATGTACACTGGTGGAGGGATGGCTGTTCCATCATTGTATGACTGAAACTCCAACATGAAAGCTTGGTAACTGTAGCTCGTGGTGATTCAATAATAATATAATAATATAATATAATAATAAAATAATAATGATAAATAAATAATTCAAGAAAAAAAATTTTAAAGTGTACCCTTCCCTTCACCATTGCCCAGTGTTCCCCCACCCTATCCCCTATTTACTCACCCTCCCCACAACCTTCCTACTGAAAACCAGCTCTCAGTTTCTGTTGCCTTTTGGCTTGTCACTGTTACTGTCCTCTCATTGTTCATCGATTTGCTCGAGCGGGTCCAGTAACATTGTGAGACTTGTTACTGTGTTTGACATATCGAATTCGTCACTGGTAGCTTGCCAGGCTTTGCCATGCGGGCTAGATACTCTCGGTAGCTTGCTAGGCTCTCCAAGAGGGGCGGAGGAACCGAACTCGGGTCAGCCTTGTGCAAGGCAAACGCCCTACCTGCTGTGCTATTGCTCTAGCCCTTGATATCACCTACTGTTTCTTTTTGTCCCACATGTGAAGGAGGTCATGCTGTGTCTGTCCCTCTCCTTCTATCTAATTTCACTCCAAATCCATTCATGTAGCAACAAATTCAACAAATTGCATGATTTCATTTTTTAACAGCCAAATAGTATTTTATTGTATACTTGAGTTTATTTATCCAAGTTCTTAGACATTTGGGTTTTTTTTTTTCAGAATTTGGTTATTGTGAATAGTGCTGCAAAGAACACAGGAGCGCAAATGTTATTTTTGGAATACACATTTGGGGTCTTGTCGTAGATATTAAGAAGTTGAATTTCTGAGTTACATGAAACCTCAATTCATCATCTTTGAGGAGTGTCCGTTTTTTTTCCAAAAACGTGGCCCAATCTGTATTAGCATGAACAGAGAATGAGTATCTTTTTCCCCTGCACTAGCTATTTAATTGTTTGTGAGGGATGTCAGTCTCACCAGTGTAAGATGATTCTCACTGCTGTTTTTGTTTCTATTTCCCTAATGATAAGTGATGCAGAGTTTTGTTGTTTTTTTTTTTTTTCATATATCTTTTGGCCGTCTGTGTATCTTTTGAGGAAGTTTTGTTCATTTCTTCTCCATATTTTTAATTAAGTTAGATGTTTTATTTTCCTGTATAGTTTTATCAGTGCTTTTATATATCTAAGATATTAACTCTTTCTCAGATGACTGGTGAGTAAATACTCTTCCCTAAATCTGTGTGGTGTCTATTAATTCTGGACATCTTTCTTTTGCAGTGCAGAAGCTTCTTAGTTTGATGTAGTCCCATTTGTTTATCTTTCTTCCCATTAGCTTGGCTAATGGCATTGAAACATTGAAGAAGCTTCTAGAGTCAATGTGATAAAGTGTTCTGCTTATGCTTTCCTCAATATAATTTATGGATTCAGGTCTAATGTCAAGGTCTTTGATTCATTCTGATTTGATTTTTGTGCCTGGTGTTAGAAAGTTCGGTGTTTTACATGTTACCAACCAGTTTTCTCATCACCATTTTTTAAAGAGGATTTACTTTCTCTGCTTCATATTTTTTACCCTTCATCAAAGACTGTCCATAAATATGAGGACCTGTCTCTGGACTCTCAATTCTATTCAATTGATAGTCTGTCCTTATTTCAGAATCACATAGTATGTGGACAAGATTGTCATTTTACTGGCAACATTAATACTTTCAATCTTTCAACAGGGAATGAGTCAATTTCATCATGTTCTCTTTCATTTCTTTTGGTATTGTTTTATGATTTTCTCTGTAAAAGTATTTCACCTCTTTTGTTAAGCTGATTCCTACTTACTTGAGGTATACCTAGGTTTGTCAAGTACATTTTGAGGCATAATTGTGAATAGGGTTTTTAAAAATTTATTTCTCTACTATTTCATTATTTACATATAATAAAGCCATGGATTCTCACGTGTTGATTTTGTAGTTTGCCACAATACTGTACACATCTATTACTTCTAGGAGCTTTTATATAGAATCCTTCAGGCTTTTTTTTAAAGTATAGTATCTGGTCATCTTCCAATAGTGAAAATTTAACCTCTTTTTTCTAATTTAGATGCTGTCTCTTGACAGATTGTTAGGTCTAGGGTTTTCAATACTCTACTGAGTAGTATCAGTGAGAGTGGAAAACCATGACTTTTGCCTGATATTAGAAGTAAAGTTTTCAGTGTTTCACCATTGAGTATGATGTTTTCTGTGGACTTAAGGTAAATGATTTTAATTTTGTTTAGAAAAATTTCTTAAACCCCAGTTTTGTTGAGAGTTTCTTATGCGCCCTACCACTGTGAAATGATAACCTTTCAGGGTAGAACATTCTTGCAGGTTCTCTTCATTCAGTATATTGTGTATGTCATTCCAGTCCCATGTTGATTTTATAGTATTCTTACAGAAATCTGCTATGTATCTTATATTTTTCCCCTGTATGAGGTGTTGTTTCTCTATTGCTGCTTTAAGCATCTGTCTCCATTTTTGGCTCTTGTCATTTTGATGACAGCGTGCCTGTGTTTTTTTCTGCTTGTGGTTGTTTTTTACTTGCGCTCTGGGCCTCTTGGACCCAATCTCCTTTTTCATATTGTAAAAATTCTCACTTATTATTTCTTCACTGAACATTCTTTCCTTCTCTCTCCTTCTAGAGTTCCTATCATTTTAAGGATGCCTTCCTATGTTTGCTACAATATATTTTATGTTCTCTTTTTTTGTCTCATTTCTATTATCTCTTCTTTGTTGATGGAGCTGTGCATTGTATCTTTGAAGTCATTGATTTGATTTTCAGCTTCATTCATTTTGCTACCAGGCAAGTAGCAGGAAGATAATACAGTGAATAGGGTACTTGGCTTGACATGCAGCCAACCTGGATTCGACCCCTCACATACCATATGGCCCCAAGCCCCACTAGAAGGGATCCCTGAGCAGAAAGCCAGGAGTAAGCACTGAGCACTGCAGGGAGTAACAAAAAAAAAGCCAGAAACAAACAGAATCCTTTCAAGCAGATTAAAAGGAACTGTTTAATTGGGAATCTTCTTGGACTTTTGCCAACCTTTGTTAGCATGAGTAAGTCCCTTCTTTTTTCATTGTTCCTGGTGCTCCATTGTTTGAGGGGAGGAATTCTTGTCACTTATTACTCCTGAACTTTTCATACCTCATATGGTTCAACTTAATAACTAGCATCCAGCTGTGGGGCTCCATCCCTTACATGATAGGCCAGGCCTAGGGTTACCTACTGTACTTCTAAGGTCCTGTTCTGGAGTTTCCCTGGGTCCCAGCACACTAGGATGCATGAATGACTCTGGTCTGGCATCCTCAATAGGGCCCACCTGGCTCTCTCTTCTCTCTCTCTCTCTCTCTCTCTCTCTGTCCTCTAGCTGCATGCAACATTTTGTTGCTGTCAAGACCTCTCCATTTTCTACCAAAACTTTTGTTGAGAGAATAAATGTTGTAGGGCTAAAGAGCAAGCACATGTGCCAAAGGAGGGAAGAGGAGAAATAAGTGTTTGCCTTGAACACACTTGTTGGCACATGCCTGAATTCCACTGATTGACAGAAATGTAGCCAGAGTTGCAGGGAATTCTTTGAGTCTGGTAACTGATAAAACTGAGAGAGACCCAATAGAGAAGATTAATTAATGTGTTGACTTCAAACTGGAGTCCTCCTTACTCTCTCTGAGTCTGCTACTATGATACTACAAAGGCATAGTATAAATTGGGCTATAATAAGTACAGTTGTGCAAATGTTCTTTCAAATTAATTTTTTTATATTCTTTGGATAGATATCAAGGAATGGAACCACTGAGTCATTAGAGAATTCCAATTTTTCCCCATTTGCATTGGGGTACCATGATTATAATACAATTAATGTTAAGGGTTTTTGCACTTTTAGTAATTAATTCTTGCTTTATTTATTTTAAATATTATATGTCTAATTATATGTCTAATATGGTGTCTGTATTTTTACAACAATAGGAATCTTTATTATGATCTTTTACTTATTAATGCAGATACTTAAGTATTATCCAAAATAATATTTTCTTTTTTAAAGTTCTTAATTTATTTTAATGTAGAAAAGAGCCATAACCGTTGATATAATTCTAGAATAATTATTAAATAATAAAGCTCCAACATAAAAATCCATAAGTATAAAAAAACTAGGTGAAAATTGTTATTTCTAATTTGGGGCTTATTAAGTCCTTGTCTATGAATTCATTAAGCTGTTTGTTGCTAATTGAGTCATCTGCGTTATTGTTTTTGTTGAGTTTAGTCTGCTTCTATGTTACTTTACCATCTAATTTGGTATGCTCCTACTAGAATTTCAGAATTGAGGATTTAGGAGGTGTCTAGAAATTTCAGTGGTAATGGCCAATGAGTTGACATGGCAGCGTCTGTGAGAGGTGACCAAAATCATATTTTATAACATAAAGTCAACATTTCCCAAGTGATAAAACATACCTTTGTACTTATATGACCTGTTTTGATTTTTCCCAAAAATTTTGTCAGTGTTTTTCTTTTCACTCATACAAAATTGTGTATGATTTATTTCATGTCAATTATGTATCAGCATAGAATTTTTGATGTTATTAATTCTTTCATTTATGTTC